CCTATCCATATAGACTGGCAAGATCAATCACCCGAGGGCTGCAGGGCTTGTTGTGCAGAACTCACAAGCCCTGTTTCATTCAGTGCACTGTCTAGCTGTCTAAGGAAGAGGTGACTACCAGAGCGCCCTGTGCCTCTGAGGAAATCTCTGTCATCCACTGAGCTTTTCAAGAAGAAAACTGGAGGCCAAGAGGTCACAGGTTCCCGACATGTGGAGCCTTCGAAGCAACAGAAAGAGAAACATGCACTGCCGGGGACTAGCAAGCTTGGGGATAATTTGCCATTATTTTATCATATGATTGGGCTACGAGGACAGGGTTGATTTCAGGTCACAAAGGGGGGCTGTGGGATGAGAGTGAAATGCATGACCATTGAGCACATAATATTCAGTTTTTTTCTTTTTTTCCGCATGACCACAGAATATTCAGTTTATGGCTGAAGAACAGGACCTGGGGAGAAGATTCCTCATGCACTTGATTTCTTCCTGATGAGATAAGCGGAAGGCCAATGCAGGAATGATTTTTCCCAAGGTGGCAACATAGTGCCGCTCTGATACTGTCTTCTGTGAAGGGCAGTGGATAATCTGGAGTTCCGTCAACACGATAACAAAACACGTTGACATTCTTTTCAGCACACAACCAATGAGATCCTCTCATAAGAGTTTTTAAAAAGCACGACTTCATTCACACACCCTGCACAGTGGGTTGTTGGTTCAAGAAATTTTGATGCTCCAAAAACAAAGGTTTTCGGCATGGATTGCTCAGACTCTTCATTGTTTGGACCGGAGATCCACATTCAGTGCCAGTAGACAAGTCGTCAGAGTTGCATCCCTGCCGACCACCGACCCTGACCGCCGACCGTATTGCAGCCGACCAGTAGGACCGACCGGTCGGCGGTCTGCCGACCAGTCAGAAAACAACCATCCACTGACTTTTTTTCAAATCTGAGTTGGGGCTGGGGGCTGTACTGCGCTTGCTGGTACAGCCGAAATCCACTGAGAAACTTTTGGGGATGGGGGTTGGGGTTG